CTGCGACCAGCGAGTTGCGAGTGAGAGAAATGGAAATTGGAAGATTAGGGTTGTGACTTGTGAGTATATGGACGTGGGTTGAGCTGTTTAATGCTACTTCTTTCAAATTTGGGCCTTTTTTTATATATATAATTAGGCTTGGGCGGGTCGTAAATCTTAATAATTAATAGGAAATTAGAAATTGACAAAAATACCTACAAAATGACAAAATTATTCAATTTTACAAAATTGAAATTTTGGATAAATTTTCAAAAAAAAATTAATTTTTTATTTTATATATTTTTCACCTGTCCGGTTTGGTTTCAAATCATAATTAAAATTCTCAAACCTAAACCAAACCGTTTTTGACCGATTTGGTTTGGTTCAAAACCATTTCGTTGACGGGTCCACGTGGCACCGAACCGTTGATTTCGAAATTGCGGTTTCGGTTCGATTTTTCGGTTTGGCGGTTTTTACTTACAGCCTTAATACTTATAATGGGTAGTGTTTGGGATGAAAATGAACTCAAAATCAGTTTGAAAATCGAATGTTACTATTTCTCGGATAACCAAGTCGCTCGAGCGATAGGTGAACGGCAGTTAAGTAGTCGTCAGTATTTTTATCATAACATTCTCTCCCGATATCTAATGAGGTGATTCAAAATGGGTTGAAAAGTTAATTCAAAGGGATACAATTATTCTAGAAATAACATTTTCCAAATTTCAATGTTTTTCTATGTGAAAAATGCATTTCAAGTTGCGACGGAGAATTTAAAACATAACTTGTGCGGCTCTTTGACATTCTATAGACTTCTAATTACATTCCCTTGATTATATGTGATATTTTTGGATATCTTGGACTCCTTCACGAACTATACCACCGATCCCAACTCTTTTGACTTTAATTATGACTCATTAACTCTTATTTTGACTTTGATTACAACTCGATAAACTCCTAATATAATTCAACAAGGATTTGGTTTTGACTAAAGAAATTGTCAATTATAAATTTAGAAATTGCAATTATAATTTGGACTTAACACATTAGATCTATTGGAGGTAGATTCACTGTATCGACTTTGAATATCAACATAATGGATACATGTTCATACGATTTTTTTAGCTCCCAAACTAATTTTGAATATGTTACTTCTCTTCTCATTTCAATAGACGTTGTCCTTGTTCCACCCATTTTCATTCATCTCCACCACACAAGACAACAAATCTGAATCATTTCTATAATAAAAAGCAGAAAACATTGGTTTACGCATGCAAGTTCTATCCATTCTTCAATTAATCTACCAATTTTTAATGAAGATTTTTAATCAAGACTATCCATTCTTCAATGATGTGAAAGCAATTCAACAACATATTCAAACTTGGGAAATATATGTTCGATACAAAATTGGATGAAACCCGCAATGAAACTAAACAATTTTTAACCTAGAAACTCGTGATTAATAATATTCCATACACTAACATCCTTTTGATTAGTGAACCTCATCTGTGCAATTTTTGATAATGGAGGGAGTGTCTATGTAATTATCAAACTCATTTGATGTCTCTAACATTAACCGTGTACGATAATTGATACCAAATAAGATAAATTTCTCTAGGTACGATCAAGCATTATAAATTATCATTTTATAAAATATTACAATATTTAGGTTACTAGCAACATGTATCGTGTAACTCTACCGTGTGACCAAAGGGGTAACTAAAGTTTCTAATATAAATATGATAATAATACATCATAATTATGATCAGGGAATTGGTATAGGCGAAAGGAGTTGCAACGACTGAAATATATCAGGTTCTGGCAAATTGAGTGGTGGCAGAGAGAAATGGCTGTAAGTAGAACTGCCTCTTCTAATTTCCTGCATAGTCAAAAGGGCTGCAACTGTATTCCTGAAAATCCCCTCTCCAGGAACTGTAATTGCCTGTCTTTCAGCAGGAAGTATTCCTTGTTCTTGTGAAGCCGGGAAAACCGAATCTATGGTGGTTTCGCACTCTTTGACGAGCTTCGAAATGAGATCAGTTGTGAAAAATGGTTGTTCAAGGACTTTTTGGATAAACGGCAAGCGCAAAACGCCACCTGTTCGTTTATCGTACTTCTTCAGTATCTTGGCCAACCCTGCAATATTTTCTCATTCGTCTCAAAAACAATGTCCCGTATACTGCAGCTTAAACTTTTAGACGAGGGAGGAAGGATACGACTATTACCGGTGTAATTAATGTTGCTGTAATTGATTAGGAGAACCATTTCTCCATGAAAATTGACGATGTCTTTTCTGATTTTTGCCATCTCCTCTTTGTATTCTGTCTCAGATGGTTTAGTTCCATTTGGTCCCCTTGTATCAGTTACTCTCTGTATCCTCTGTTGCAATTCCTGCATCAAAATCAACTATGAAACAGACAGCAAGTTGTTTTCGGTAATTTCAATCTCCTCTACTATAATTAAACATGCTGTTCGATATATATCTCGTATCTGTAACCTGATTTTGATTGTTTCTGTTGTATTGTCTCTATCAGTAAAGCCATTTTTGTAGTTGGAGTTGGAGGGATATCCTCTCCTCTTGTGAACGAATCTACAATGTTAGCACACTCTAAACGTGGAGCCCACAAACTACATAATCTATTTTGATATTATTAATTTCTTGCTAATCTTGGCAAGTGAAGTAAGTGTCCAATTTCAGAAAAAGTGCAGCCAAACATGATCACTAGAAACATGTTTTTCAAATTACTTATTTTACTGAACTTCCTTTTATAGAATAGAAAATAAATTTAACATAAAACATGTAAGTAAAGCAGTGGGAGGATGGATGGATGGATGACCTTGTGGCGAATAATGAAATCCTCTTCCTGCTCCATGAAGAAGGCATTGAATTTTTCGATCTCATTGTTCAGGCAGTACATGAACTCCTTGTCGGCCTTTGGAGCAGAAGAAATCAATCTCACAAGTTTCTTCAATTCCTTGTATGTCAAAAATTTATCCCGCCAATCCGGCAAACTCTGTTCAATTTGCTGCTTCAATCTCTTCCCGAACTTCATCAATCTGCACCTGTGTGTTTGATAAAAAAATTTTTGCAGAAAGCTTGAAATGGAGGGTGGTTTTAATGGGGGTGAAAAAAGAGAATATTTAGAAAGCATATGCTTGGCGTGATGAAGTGGCAGTTAGAATGAATCCCAGCATATTCGATTAACACAGTCGGTCGGTCATACTTGTGACAAAATCAAATTATTAATGTCAAATTTAGGTGCTTCACTACTACTTACTTGGGGACCCATATTGAAATATGATAGGGCAGAATTTTAATCACACCATGAGATTATACTACTCAATTTTCTCCGATGCACTTTAAATTTTAAATTTATCTTTTTAAAAAAGTTTTGTTTTACTTTTCCGACCCTACAATGATTAACTGGTTGAACCAGTGACTTGCTAACCTAATGCTTTGATCTGGTCAGTGATCGAGTTGAGTATGATAACTATTGTGTTCCAAGATTTGGACAACACAGAAATTCATATGATTAATTCTGAATAATTTATCGTTAAAATGAAAATTCTATTTATCAATGTTAGAACTTGAATATAATATGATAATAGAGGTTAGAGGTGTGACTTGTGAGGGAGGCATACATTAGGAAAATAATAAATAATTTCTGGAAATCTATAATAGAATAAAATTAACGTTGGGATTATGGAAAAAGGCCATTCGTATAAATTAAGAATCTCCCTCCCATACCAATGCCACGGCACTTTTTGTCTAGTCTTGGAATGGGGCTCTTTATTCGGCCGTCTCAATTTTTTCAGAACTCATTTTCAATTATACGTTACGTTATAAAATAATATTACGAGTGTTTTATGAATATTATTGAAGAAAGAATGCATTTTAAATAGTGATATAATGGAAAATATGTAGTAAAAAAGTAATGAAAAGTAATCGATGTGACAAAAAATATTATTTTATTGAAGAATGTGTGGTTAAAAATGAGTTTTGAATAAATGTATTTTAAAAGAATGTGTGTCAAACAGGGACTACATGTAAATCCAAAAAAAATTCATATCTTTAACCACACATTATCGAAAAAGTCACTATTACAAAACAATTTTTTTCTCAAAAATTTAATTTTAATGAAGCCAAACAGGGGCTTAATATTATACAACTGGGACCCACCCGCAGATTTTTTGGCCTAAAACCAAAATACACTATGCTTTTTCCTTAACTTATCCATACTCCTGTCTCTGGATTTTTGGACCAACGCCAAACGGTAAACGTGACCACTGCCCGAGCTTCATAGTCTTCTCCCAAATGAATAAAATATTTACAGAAAGGTTTATAATTTTCTCAAATCATATCATGACAGGGAGATTATGGATATGTTATATCTTCTTACGCTTTTCAAGGGATAATATCCCGTTGAATCTTCTGAAACGCAACCAAACTAAATCTGCTTCATACATAATTTTCTCCATAGCATCCATGAAAGTTCAAAGATTGGTCACAAGGTAAATCAACCATAGGTATGGGCGGACTCAGGAAAGTAACTCAACGCATGCACAATTTATCGATGTTGAACGTCGAATTTTTTGTTATGAATTTAATGAAGATAAAAATATAAAACAATATTACAACAATACTAAAATAAACATAATTTATAAATTACACTTATTCCTTACGATTTTTCATATTTTGATATCGTTGTATAATAACTTCATTATTGAACTTCAAAAATATTTTTCTACATAAACAATTGTACTATCATTCATCCATTAATTACCCATCTGATTACGCAATATATCATTTACAATGCTTGTCGCAGAAAAGATTCTCCACAGTAGCGATAACAACCGGTAGAATCAATACTACAGTCAAAAGTTTGCACATTTTTCTTTGTCAAAACTAACTTTCCTACTAGATTACCAAAGTCGTTCAACCTTTCAAACTCCTTGTTAGAGCACATGTCAAAAATATAAGTCTCAAGTTGATCATGAAGTACAACAGATCTAATACAGAAAAATCTAATGGATAAAGCTCAGTAAGTCGAATCAAACTTTTCTTGTCAAAAAAAGAAAATGAATTTTGTGAACATAAANAGTAAGTCGAATCAAACTTTTCTTGTCAAAAAAAGAAAATGAATTTTGTGAACATAAACAAGCTACACAAAGGAGTAACTCAACGATTATTCAATTTTCAAAGTTGTAGATCGAGGAAGAGTATAATAAATCTACTAAAATGGTCGAATTTTCACCACTAAACTTACAAAAATGATGTCGACCTATTGTTCATTTAAAAATATGTACCACAATCGGACGAGTTGTGTAAAAGTCATAGAGTGGACAAACGAATCCGAAATGATTACTTAATTACACAATAGTTGAATTTAATTTTAACATACTTTTGTAGAATTTTTAATTATTTTCATTATTGGAAAATTTTAAATTTATTGTGGATTTTTTTGTTAAAATTAATTTAATATTTGGATTTTTCAACAAAACACACAATAAATTTAATTAAAAAAGATTTTTCAATGAATCACACAATAATTTTAATTAAAATTTGGATTTTCGTAACGAAACACACAATCTATTTAATTAGATTTATCGTGTGTTTAGTTGCAAAATCCAAATACTAATTTACTTTAATTTAATCTAATAACAAAATATACAATAGATTTGAATTTTTCAAATGATGAAAATAGCTAAAAATTCTACGAAATATGTCAAAATTAAATTAAATTATTGTGTAATTAAGTAATATTTCTTGTGGAATCCACAATCTGGACTCGCTTATCCACTTCATTACTTTACTCGATCTATGCAATAGCAGTACATATTTTTCAACGAACAACATGTCAATATCATTTTTATAAGTTTAGTGGCCAAAAATCGATTATCTCAAAATTCAGTGAGTAATTAAAACGTTTTTCAAAATTTAGTGAGCAATCGAAGAAGCTACATAAAGGAGTAACTCAACGATTATTCAATTTTTAAAGTTGTAGATCGAGGAAGAGTATAACAAATCTACCCGATAATGATGTAAATTTGTAATTTCTTGAGGATTGCGTTGTGGACGACTACGAAGTGCACGATGTACAAACATATCATCTATACCTGGTACATCAATATAATGCTGTTGACAGAAAAACATATTTCTTCCCAAAATGAGTCTCACCATTCATCTCTCATTATTTGGAGTCATCGTTTGCACAACTTCACCAATTGCAATGCATTCACAATATCTTGATCTTTCCTTTGCAATGCATTTGAAATCCCCAAGACACTTCTCATCAACTGTAAATTAAA